GAGGTAGAGGCAGGTGGATCTCTGTGAGTTTGAGGCTAGCCTGGTCTATAGAGCATGATCCAGGACAGGCTCCAAAGCTACACAAAGAAGCCCTGTCTTGAAACAAAAATAAAATTAAAAAAAAAAAAAGGGAAAGAAAGAGGAGAGAAAGAAGAAACTGAAGAGATGATTCATTTACTCACTTGCTGCTCTTATACAGAGGGCCCTAGTTTGGTTCCACCACCCACATGGCAGCTCACAACTGTCTATAACTCTCCAGGAAAGATGACATTCTTCAGGACTCAAAGGCAGCAGGCATATGTATAGTATACGTACACACATGCAAGCAAACAATCATCACACACATAAAATTAAAACAAGAAATAAATTTTTAAAGGAATACTGAGATGCGAAAGCAGTAAATAATAACTACAGATGAGAAAAAACTGAACTTGTCTCAACAGACATGCTACTTTTACAACTTAAAATTGAAAGGCAAAAAAAAAGGTATAGTAGATAATCTGAAGCTCTTCTCACCTCTTCTAAAATATCAACATAAAAATTCTATGTTACAAGCACCCTTAAAGAAAGTGGTTCTTTATTTAATAGTCAAGTTCTGTTGCTTTTTAAATTCACATGGGTGTTTTGCCTGCATGTGTGTATGTGTATCATGTGCATTACTGGTGCCCGTGGAGGTGAAAAGAGGAGTCAGAACCCCTGGAACTGAAGTTTCAGATGGTGTTAGGGACCATGTGGGTACTAAGAATCTAACTGGGTCCTCTGGAAAGGCTGCCAGTGCTCTTAACCACAGAGTCATCTCTCTATCCCCAAGAGGCAAGCATTTTGTGGACCATATCTTTTATAGATTCTTTAAAGCTTTTAAATTGTCTTTTTAAAAAATTCTTTAACTATATCCTCCCAAGAAGAAAAAGTCCTATCCTTAAAAGACCAGACCTTAAGCTCTACCAGATTTTTTCTATCTAGTTCCTTCTGAGTGTACATGATGAGTTCCGGATTTTGAAATTAAAAGCTTTTAAAATTTTGCTCAGCATACTTACCATTCATTCACTCAGAGTAAACAAAAGCATCTCAAAGATTGGTCTCATTCATACTTGAAGTCCAAAAAAACTACTTGGGTGCCCCCTAGGGACCAAATTTTTAAAAAGTATACAGCTTCAGGATACATTAATATCTCCATCATCAATATTTATTCAACAAGTACCTACTATGCGCTAGGTACAATGCTCAACAACAGAGACAAAAAGATAAATAAAATCAAGTTTCTGATTTCCATATGCTTAAATTCAATCTCATTTAAAACTTTTCTAAGCATATTATGAGTCATCCATTCAAAGAGGCTCTTAAGGAAGTTATGACACATGATAAATATGGTATGAATATGTTTTCCTCATTACTTACATAAACAAAATATTCACACTCTGTGAAAGAGAAATTAAATATTCTTTCCAACCAGCCCATGCAAAATTGTGGATGTTATTTTCAAAGATAAGTTTAAGTTACAGAACTCTTATTTATTTTGGACCAAAACAAATATAAAGCTTACTTTTTTACGATTTATTTTATTGATCATGTATACAGTGTTCTGTCTGCATGTATGCCTGCATGACAGAAGAGGGCATCAGATCTCATTACAGATGGTTGTGAGCCACCATGTGGTTGCTGGGAATTGAACTCAAGACTCTGGCAAAGCAGCCAGTGCTCTTAACCTCTGAGCCACTTCTCCAGCCCCTAAAGCTTACTTTTTAAACAAATGAGGCTTGATGACCTGATTCCCATCTTCCCATTCTTGAAATGGGAAAGTAAAAGGAGAGAAGGTAAAAGGAGAGAAAGAAGCAACTCCACAAAGCTGTCTTCTGACCTCCACACATGTGCCACAGCATGTGTACATATACACATACGTACATACAATAGAAGTAGAGAATTTTTTAAATGATATAGCATCCCTGGCTTTTAGAATAAATCATTATATAATAATTCCACCAAGTATTTAATTCAAATAAAAGTATTACACTGACTTGGCTAATTAATGGCTAATTAAAAAATAGCAAAAGAGGACACAGATTTAGAAATAATTAATTAGAAAATAAGATTAAACTGAAAAGGACCATTACAAATAAATGAGTAAAGTCAATTCCCAAAGCCCCCTCAAAATTTCTCCTCCAGTTATTAGACACCTTAAAAGGTTCTCCATCAGATCTGCCCTTTCCTGTCCATGGAACAATAATAAAGTGAAGCGTGACTCCAGAAAAAAAGTACCACCTTCCCTCCAAGATACTCCCTTACCTCTAACTCCAATACTGTAGACATGAAGACAAGATACCCTCAGGTTCTGAATCCCCAAATCCAAGATGTACTTCTGACAGCACATGGCAGCACACACCTGTAATCCTAGCACTTGGGAGGTGGAGGCAGGAGAACAGAGTTTGAGGCCAGTCTGGGTTAACATAAGGAGACCACACCTCAAAATAAACAAACAAAACAACTTCTGTCAACCTGAGTCAGAAACCAAAATAACTTCTCTCCAAAGAAACAATTCTATGATCAGCCACATTTTAGGTACCCTGTGAACTAAATCCGCTTGGTGTGATAGTTGGAGAACTTAACATTGAGTTATATAACTTTTTCCCTACAGAAAAATAAATAATTTTAAAGCTTGCCATCTTTGGGGATTAAGTTCATAGCTGCCTGCATAATGAAATATTGAACCAAAATGCAGACATTTCCCTCACAGAGGGAAAAAACGCCTGACTTACCTGAACACAGACATTCCAGTGTTTATTTCATCAGCTAAGAGACAGTGACTCTTAAATGATACATTTGAAATTGGCAACAAGAATCAATAGCAAACATTTCAAAACAGTTTATTCTAGATGGTTTGGTGGAACAGGCCTGTAATCACAGCTATTTATGAGTCAGGAGGACAAGTTCAAGGCCTGCCTTGGTTTCAGAGTAAGTGCAGGGACAACTTACTGGGAACTTTAGAGTAAAGGAACAAAGAGAGATGCTCCGTAGTAGAGTGCAGGTCTTTCACGTTTGAGACCTGGGTTCCACTCCAGTGCAAGCAGAAAAATTAATATAAAACAAACAACCCACGGCTTAAGCTCATATAACTGCCAAAGTTGTAAATAATAAGTAAAAGAATAACTCTCAAAAACAAAAACCATATATCATGGACTCTTGTAATTGATAATGAGCAGGTTTAAGTATTACCAGCTACCAACTGAATTCATGAAATAGAAATACTAGTTACTGAACACAGAAATTTTGAATCCAGTGGAGTAACGGGTATTGTTAGGTTGAGTGTGGACGTTTAAGGTGACATTATAAACTCAGAAACAAAGTATCTGGGTGTACTCAAAAATGAAAGTCATAAGTCAAGTTTTTTAAAGTAATGCACCTTCAAAATAAAAATTTCCAGCTTCAGATAGTACTCTTATAACTGCCCGGCCTGGTGCCCCTTGCAGTACATTAAATAAACCCGTTGTCTTTCTAAAAATAAAATGACCAATATAATAAAACCAGGACGCTTAAAGGAGAAAACATTTGCATCTATGTGCCAGGTGTCAGATCTCATCTAATAGTCAGAAATACAAAACAGATTCTATTTCCTCCCTTCTTACCAAGGAACTCAAGCTAAAAGTGACTTCTCTGGGGCCAGAAGAACAACAGCAGAATGAGGCCTTGAACCGCTCTGTTTTGACTATAAAGGGCCTGCTCCTTCCCTTACCACGTTATTTATAGTTTCATCATTTTACTTACAAAGTAAACCTGAAGCCGTCCGCTTGTCATTTCACTTTTATAAAGGGGAAACCAACCAATAGAAATAAGTAGGAAAATGCTATGTACTCTGTGACTGAACCGGTTTTCAAAAGCCACCTGTAATGATAAACCCCATCTGGAGATCATGTAACAACCTTCGGGACATATTCTATTTATTTGTTGGTGTTCTTTAGAAAGTAGAGCATAGGACAAGAGTTCAATATATGAATGTGGAGAAAGTCAAAGCAAATATAAGCCATCGCTTAGGAAAAGAGGAAATTATGTATTAAGTTCTGGGTCAAAAACTTTTACCAGTCACTCAATTTTAATGGTGAACGTTGGGTGTTTCACTCCAACCCTGCTTGCTTTTTGTTTCTTGTTGCCTTGTTTTCCTTTCAAACATTGCCCAAGACTGTCCATTAAGCCTCCCTCGCGGTATCATTATTGCTCATAGCAGCTAGAAAAACGAGGTGCGAACCCATACCTGCTTGAGTCTGAAGTCTTTGCCTCTTTCCATGTACATGCCACCCCTGACCTCAAATACTAACAGAATGGAACTGGTAAACTTATGTCAAAACTTTTATTGCATTTGATTATTTGTGTGGACAAACACTCGGCCACAGCTCAGGTCTGGAAATAGGGAGGACAACTATCGGGGAGGGGGGGGGGTGCTCTCCTTCCATGTGGGTCCCCAGGATGTAACTTTGCGGCAAGTGCCTTAACCCGCTGCGCCATCTCTCCAGCCCTAAAGCAAACATTTTAAAAAAAATAAAATAAAATAAGAGGATTTTAGAGTTGGGTGGTGTCTTACTTTCTCGGCTAACATGAGCGCAGAGTTTCATATTTGATTAGACAACTGAGGTGACTCACTTGCCCAAGGAAAAGCATGAGTTGGCAGCTGGGCCAAAGGTTAGCACCGGGGCTCACCCGGCTCCGGTACTTTAACTACCACAAGATCCGGGTCGGGTTCCTCGAGGCGGATTAGCCGAGGGCTGACAGCCCGGGACGGAGCGAGAAGGCAACCCGGGTCCCGGGAGTGAAAGCAAGGGCGCGCGGGAACAAAGCGGACAACGCAGCGCGCGCCCGCAGACTCGACGCCCCTCGGCCCCGGGCGCGCGGTGGCCGTCGGGATTCGTAGTCCGCTGCCCACGGCGGGGGGCGCGGCAGCCAACGCGGCAGCTCCCGCCGGCCCGGGCCCGTTCAGCCCCGGAGCTCTCCGTCTCCCTCCCGCACGGCCTCACCTCGACAATGCGCGCGCACTGGGTCCCCTTGCCCGCACCGGGCCCGCCCAAAACGAACACGACCAACGGCTTCATGAGGTTGCTAGGGCAGAGCCACAGTCCACGGGTCAGCAGCGGGAAGCTCGAGACCAGGACGTGCAGCAGCCGGCGACGACAGCTGCTCAGCATACACCGCGCCTCTGAC